GCCACCGCCTCCGCAGCTGCCGCCGCCCCGCCCCTCCTCCCCGCCAACCAATCGCGAGACAGGAGAGAGCCGTGCTTAGCATAACCCCGCCCTTAATCGTCACTCCGCCCCGCCCCCGCTCCGCTAGCCAATGGCAGCATGCAGGTGCCTTTACGCTATCCGGAAACGAGCGGTACCATAGAGAGGCAGGGAGGGAGAGACCACTTCGCGGCCGCTCGCACCGCTGCTCTCTATGGCGAGGCCTCCGCGGTACCCCTGCAGCGGCTCCCTCCCCGCGGTACCTGCGGGCTCCGCTTTATTGCCGAGAGCGATCAACTGCGGGGCTCTCCGCGGGGAAGCTGAAACTCAGGCTGATTTTAACCATCCCCCTGTGCCACCATCTGCCCCTCGCCAGGAGAAACCTGCAGCATCCCCCAGTAAAGAATAAACCATCAGTGCCAGCGGATAAACGCTGCTGCCAGGCTCCCACCCCCAGCCTCCCCCCCGTCCCTGCTTTATTTCCTCCTTTATCCCCGTCACTCCGTTCATTTCAAACGCAACTGCTCACAGCTCCTGTGCAGGAGCACCCTGTCTTGCTCCAGCCCTTGCACAATACACCAGGCAGGGAAATCATCTCAGCCAGCCCAGATGTTTATGGGTTGTGTGGATGCCAGAGCATGCAGGCAGGCTCTAACGGGGCTTTTTAAAAGCAATTAAGACAGAGAGGAGTTTACAGCTAGTAGCTGATTCTAATAAGGGTCATAAAACCCACCCGCTTTCTTGGATGCTCTCGAAAATTGGTTCATGGCTCTCTGCAAAGGCACGCTGCAAACGGCAGCTGGCCATCTGTCTCCATCTGCACCCAGTCCTTCAGGGTGTTTGTAGTCGGGACCGGGATTTCCAATGGCTTTACAGTCTGTGCCGGTGCTCAGAGGCCCCAGCCTCAGCTTAACACAGCAATTACCAACCCCTTGACCAGAGAGGCGAGGCTGGAGGTGCAGTTCCAAATAGCAGCATTGATATCATCCCCCAAAAGAGCTGAGTTTAAACTGGGGGCATTGCTCAAGGCAGGAATTTGGGGGATTCTGAGCACAGGTCCCCAGAAATCCCCCTTTTCCCCATTAACTTCTGCTGTATCTGCCACTTCTGACAGGGAATTATCCACATATTTCCCAAACCACAAGTCATCTCCCGCTGGCTGTCAGACATGTGAACACTTGCCTTTAGATGGCACTGTGTGAAGCAATACCCATGAAATCCAGCTGTGGAAAGGGCTGTTGGTCCCGCCAACGCTTAGAAACATTTTGGGACTGATGTCCTTGCAACAGAGGAGGAGAAGGAGTGTTTTGTGCCCACCCTGCTCCCTCCAAGAAGGGACATGTGGGGCTGAGATTACCCCATCTGAACCTAAAGCCCCCCTAATGCGTGCTCACCACCCTCTCTGGAGCCAGGAGCACCTCTCATTTGGCACATTTCCCTTAATTTAGGTCTGATGCTCAATTAAGAAACTAATCATGGGGGCAGGAAAGCTGCTCTGGGAGGGTCTCTGCCACCCCGGGTGACCCTGGGAGCACTCAGGCCATTTGGAGTGAAGCCCCAGGCTCAGAGCAAAGCCTGGCAAAGCCCAGAGCTGGCGCTGGGCTGGGGCAGCTGCCTTCTCTCTGTCAGCAACCCACCGTGACACTGGGCTGGACTTCGTCATGGGTCTTGCAGGTCTGGGGCAGCCAGGGATGTCATCCTGGAGGGGGCTGGCACCAGCCCTGTGAGCATCCCACCCGCTGGCAGCAGCTCACTGGGCTGAGTTCATCCTCCCTAAACAGGGAACATCTCCCAGCCCCTGGGGACCTGCCTGCCTGCGGCAGGGGACTCTGCTGCTGAACTCTTGCAATAGAAATTATCAGGTCCAGGGTCACCTTCAGCATCCCAGTACAGCATGGGAGGGCCATTTCCCCAGCCCTGCCTTGGACACTGGTACTTGCTCCAGCAACAAAACCCAGCAATAAAGAAAATCCATTTCAACACAGTAAGGCTGAATTTGCCAAATCATTGTTCCTAGAAGGGACTGATTCATCCCAAAGTCAGGCAAAGCGCAGGCAGCAGTGACACAGCCCCCTCCCCACCATCCTCCCCTTCCCTGAGCCCCCGACCACACATTTGCAGCCACATCCTACATCCCAGGAACCGGCTCCATCCCGGGATGCATCCTCAGCCGCATCTTCCCTGTTCCTGCTGCAGGGAGCAGATGGGGGTTTCCTGTCCCCAAGCGTGAAAGCAGAGTGGATAAAACGAAGCCTTGGCTGGGAATAACTGGAGGGGTCCCCCTTTTTCTCTCCTCAGCATTGCACTGCCCATCTCTCCTCCCGCAGTGGCTCTGTGCATCACGATGTAGCCAAAAGCAAGACATCGGGGAGAGATGTTTCCTACGCGATGGCTTTATGGAGGCGTGAGTCTGTGTAGCCCCCATCCTGCTAAAACCGTCCCTGCCACCAGTCCCCATGGGAAACAGCCCCCCGCGTCCTGGGGTCCCAGTGTCACTGGATGCCCACCAGTTCTGTTATGGGGGGAGCGTGGACCATCAGCTCCTCGTATCTCTGGAGGAAGAGCCGGAGCCTGGAGGTGTAGGTGTCCTCATTGTACGGCAGCTTCTTCTCCTTCAGGTACTGGGAGACGACGGGTTTGATCTGCAAAGGCAAAGGTGGAGTCACCTCCCTGAGGGATTCCCAGGCATATGTACAAGGTTCCCAGCCTGAGGCATCACCAAGTTCCCTCAAGGTGCCCAGATAACCCAGCCCACGCACCCAAAACGGGGCTGGAGACAGCACCACCAGCTATAACATCTTTACCGTGAAAATTAAGCAGAAGGCGGCTTCTGATTGCAGCAACCCAGGGTGTTCACCCTGGCAAAACACCTTCGCAGGGCTCGGGATTAGGAGAGATGCCCTAACAAGGCTCTTAACGAGGGCCAGCCACGCATGCTCATCACTTGCACCCCTAGTTATCGCAGTGCGCCCACACAACCAGCTCGGCTGTGGAGCTGGGATGCTGCAACCAGCTTAATTACCCCTTTTCCGCAACATGTCTTTGGGGGGACAGGTCCTACCGGCCCCGGGAGCTCGAGCAAAGGGCACGACCTGAGACCCACTGCTGCTCCTGCTCCATTTCACTATTGCTTAATTTTTCCCCCGACTTGAGAGTGAAAATAAGCATTAAATGAGCAGAGATCCCACGCTGAAGGGCGGCACACAGCCTTGGGATCCCCTCGAGCCGAGGCAGCGCTCGGAGCCCACGGTTTGAACACACCCCACACCTCAGAGCAACAAGTAAGGGCATGACCAAAATTACAGGGGGTTTGCTGGGACGCTGGCTGGAATGAATACCAGACTGCGTGGCGCTGGAGATGCTTTCCCAAGGAAAGAGCTGGGAGGATCCCGGATTGCTGGGAGGCTGCTGCAGGCTGGGACTGGGAGCAGGGGAAGGAGCAGGGAGCAGAAAGCCAGGAGAAAGAGGAGTGGGGGTGGAGGAGGTGGGTTAGGGGCTGTCACAAAGCAGTGAGAGGTCTCTAGTAGAGCAGAGAGGCTCAGTCCAAAGAGGTGGCTTGCAGCGGTGTGGTGGGGACACGGATGGTCTCATCCCCATGTCACCTTCCAACTTGCTCACCTGCCCCGCGGGGCTGTCTCACCTTCAGGCACATGTTGTCGGAGAGGCTGGGGAAGAGGTGATGCTCCACATGGCAGCTGATGAGCGAGTGGCCAAAGGACCAGTCGAGCAGGGCGTTGCGGGGCAGATTGAGGACGCCCAGGCTCATAAGGTGGATCCGCTTGAGTTTCCGATCGGCCGCGAACATGGGGAGGCCGATGTGCTGCAGGAGAGGGAGGTGGGGACCCCGTG